CTGGTGGCCTCCAAAGAATCCCACACACCTGAGTGAATTCTCCTTTGTGAGCGTCTCACTGCCAGGGCTGGGGGTCAGCTCTGGGTTGTGGGCGGGGTACCAGGTTCCTCTTCAATAGTTTTTCTATAGCAAGAAAAGAAGGAAGGGGATTGAGGAAATGTGCACCTCACTCACTTTGCCTCTTGTATTTCTCTTTATCCTAAGGAATAGCTCCCTTCCACCATGGACACCCACCCTCTTGTAGAAGGAGGGCTCTTTTTCCTTCACAGGCCCTCACGATGGTATAGATTTTATCTATGTGTGTGTGCATGGATGTAAAAACCACTGTTCCTTCTGGGGATGATTTGATTGATGTATACACTGAAAACATCTTTAATAATTTAATGCCTACTTCAAAGGAGATTACACCAAAAAGCACATTGCTTTTCATTTATTCATTACAGATCTGTCATAGCAGCATTTTTTGCCCTGAATTGTAGTGTCATAGTACTAATAAATTTTGTTTTACATTCAGTATATTTTAAAGGACTATAAGCCTTTTAACTAATGTTACTGTCTTATTTAAATTGATCAAATTGGTATTTCAGCACCATAATCTTGCATTTCTTAAAGCTGAGCTAACCAGATGTGGATTCATTTGATGACTACTGCAATAGCTGTGCTGGGAAAGTCTAATAGAAATAACAGGCTGAAAACATAATCCTGCTTCCCTGCTTGTTAGTGGTGGTGGTGGTAATAATAGTGAAGAGAATAGAGCCTGAATTTGGGGCTTGGTATCTCCTTCTCCTTGAAAAGAGATTAGGGAATTTACCAGCCCTTTGCATTAAAAGGAGAAAAAAAGTATATGTATTTGGGAATTGGGAGTTTAGAAAGGGGTAAGATAGGAAATAAAAACTAAAAAGCAACACACAATCCTTTTGCAGCTTACAGGTGTAAATCCAGGTGTCAAGAAAGGAAAACAGACCTTTTCCCACTTAGGAGGTAGTCAGACACCTTACCAGAGTTTAGCAAACCCTCGTAATATATTCCCAGCGAGTCAAGGAACATATCCAGATTTCTAAATGATTACAGCAAATTTTGAGTGTTTTTATTTTTGAATATTTTATTTAGGAAATATAACCTCTTTTTAAATTAAAACCAAAAGTTGCTCTGAATAGGGAACTTTAGGCAAAGTAAAGATTGTAACAATTTTAGGAGAGTGATCTGTATCTATCCAATTCTCAGAGATCATTTAAAAATAAATCTTATTTGCCATTAGTGCTGTAGTATTTCTGAATTCTTTTAATGTACTGCTTCAGGTACTTTGCCTAAAAAACTTTATACTGTTTCCTCCCTGAAGTAATGTTGCCTAGTGCAGATGTCACCTTTCTGACCATTGAAAGGACACTTGAACGTGCTTACAGGGCGACGAGGTGAAGGAGCATCATCTTGTGTGGTTTGTTTAAGGGAGAATGCCAGAACTTCAAGGCAGGATTGCCTCGGGGTCAAATCCTAGCCCTGCTTGTTCACCTGTGTGTGGAAGTGTTGAGTGACTCCTCATGTTCCTTATTAGTGAAGTGGGTATTGGAAGCGTGCTTCGTACATTTACTGTGAGGGTTACATGAAATGAAGAGTGCTGAGCATGGCCTTTGGCACAGACAGGTGACAGGTGTGCTTCTGGTCTATTCTCTTTACCCACAAACACCATTCGTACCAAGTTTTGGAAATCTCAGTGACCAGGCATGTGAGAGCTGGCAGCAGGCTGCCACACCCCACTTCGGATGCCCCTTTCCTGACATGTGCTCCTACAGCTTCTCTCCTTCTGTTCTGTTCTAACACAATTGTTACTGCACTGCTCTGAGCTCTTTGTTGTCACGGATGTTGTGTTTGTCTCCAAATGCCCAGAATCTGGAGTCCTGCATAGCACAAACCAGTGCTCTAGGCCCATTTGCTGAAGTCATGGTGACTGAGAACCCCCCAAATGTTTGTTAGGGTCCTATGGTGAGTATCGCCCTAAATCCCTCAGAGCCACCAGGAAGGGACCTTGCTGTCTCTGAGCCTTTTCCTGGCCTCCTCTGACATGTTAGTGGGGTGTTACCCACAGTGTTTCTCTCACTTGGCTCCTCATTGCAGCTCTCTCATGTCACGAGCCCCCTCCCTGACTTGGTATCTTATTGAGGAAGCTCTCCAACTTCTGGTGCTGTTTCCTTTCCTGCTCCCCCAGAAGCCTTTGCTCCTCAGTGATGCTTGACAGAGGACATTTCCTCAGTTCTGTTTTTATAAAGACAGTTCCCACCCTTTTCTTTGCCAAACTCTTCTCTGCTCCACACTTAAAGTGTGTCTGCCTCAAGGCGTTGTCACATTTGTTCCTATAGAGAAAGAGTGGGACATGGGGAATATACTGCTTTCTTTTTTTTCCTTTTATTTTTTCCATTACCATTTATCTCCCTAAACCACCCTCTCTACTGCAGTCACCATGCTGTTGTCCATGTCCATGAGTATGTTTTTGCTTTTTGTTTAGTCCCTCTACCTTCTAACCCTATCCCCCATAGTTGTCATACTGTTCTCCATCTATGAGTCTGTCTCTATTTTGCTTGTTAGTTCAGTTTGTTCATTAGATTCCACACAGGAGTGAAATCATATGGTATTTGTCTTTCTCTGATTGGCTTATTTCACTTAACATAATGTTTTCTAGGTCCACCCATGCTGTCCCAAAGGGCAAAATTTTCTTCTGTTTTATAGCCGAGTACTATTTTGTTGTGTAAATGTCCCAAAGTTGTTTTATCCACTCATCCATTGATGGACACTTGGGCTGCTTTCATATCCTGGCGATTGTAAATAATGTTGCAATGAATATAGGGGTGCTTATGTTCTTTCAAATTAGTGTTTTGGGTTCCTTCAGATATATATTCCCAGAGGTGGGATTGCCAGGTCAAAAGGCAGTTCCATTTTTAGTTGTTTAAGTTATCTCTATACTGCTTTCCACAGTGGCTGTACCAATCTTTATTCCCACCAACAATGGAAGTTTTCCCCTTTCTCCACATATTCACCAGCACTTGTTTGTTGATTTATTGATGATAGCCATTCTGACTGGTGTGAGGGGATATTTCATTGTGGTTTTAATTTTTATTTCTCTGAGGATTCGTGACATTGAGTATCTTTTCATATGTCTATTGGCCATCTGAGGAATATGCTATTTTCAATTCTGGACCTTAGAGATATTTCTCATCTTTATTCATTTAGGTCTTAGGTATAAAACCCAGAAATCCTTAGCAAAAACTATGGGTTACATTTCATAAATCTCTTGCCTTTCAGTGCCATCTGGCAGATCTCCTTCCCTTCCACCTTAGCTTCCTCTGCTGCGCACCTGGCCTTGCCGAGGCCCCGCCCTGGGCAGCTTAGACAGGCCTGGGGCCCTGCCGACACTGTCTCACATTAAGCGTCTGAATGAAAATTTGAAAGACGCAGCCTCACTGTCCTATTAGTTAACCTGCATGATGACAAACTCTATGTTTTTTTGGAATATCTTAAAAACAAGCATTTTCCCCTTCATTTTAAAAAGTGCACTTTTGATATCGTGTAATCAAATTTAAGACTTTATTTTTTGGTGGAATATAGGAATTCATGGTTCAACTCTTTCTTCTTCAAAATAATGTATGGAATTTTATCCTGAACTTTTAATCTACTTCTCTTCATTTATTTCCTTCTTTACTTCTAAACCTGAAAGCTTATGTTAACTCATTACATGAACTGTTAAGACCATTAAGAGTCAGTAACAAGTATTTGGGCAGTGAGAAGAGAATGTACTTCCAGAGCTGGAAGGGAGGCCACAGTTAATTGTGTTTCAAACCCTCATTTCACAGATGCCAGAGGATTAAGTGACCTGTCCAACATCACAAGTTGGAAAGAGGCAGGTCTGCAGTCCTAACCTTCTTTGTTTTTTCTACCTAACCTAAAAAAGGCCTATTATTTTGTTTGGGGAAATCAAGAAATATAATAGCTCCAGGAAAGAATGTATCATAATAAATGGGAAGGGATTTTAATCTTTTTTCTTTTGGTTTTTTTTTTAGGATTTGTGCTGTGCCAGGCACTGTATATAACTTATTTCATTTGATCCCCATAGAGGTTTTATTGTATTTCCATTCTATAAGTGGGAATCTGAAACTCACAGAAGTTAGGTCAAGCCAGTAAGTGCATGGCTGGGAACTGACCCCGAGTCTTTCTCTTTCCAATTCTTGGCTCTAGAACTCAGCATCCTGCTCTCTTTTAAAGTGGACTTATACACATCTGAATAACAGTAAAAATACCTAATTATACTTTTTTAAATAGTTGAACATTTATTATTTTTATAGAAAGAACTAACAGTTTATGCAGTCCCACATGTGCATAACAATCAGTTTTAGTATTTGGAGGTATATTGTCAACTTTCTTGAGCATTGTGTAGAAAGCTGTCCACATCTGGCATTAGAAAACCTGATGGATTTACATCCTGGGGCCATCACCAACGCCCTTTCTGCATTTAGAGATAAAAATACACATCAGGCACCAGTGGTGAGGATGATATTCTCTCCACCAAAATTTTCTCTTACCTCCTCCTCTGGGCCAGACACTCCATTGGACATCAGCAAGGACCCTGCAGTGTGGATTTCTCTCTGCTGTGCGGGTTAAGAGCATTGGTTTTGGACTCACATGCTTAGTTCCAATTCTGGCTCTTCCATTTATAAACAGCGGGATCTTGAATGAGATATTTGATCTCTTTGTACCTTAGTTTTCTCACCTGTGAAATAAGAGTAAATACCTACTTCACAGGATTGTTGTGAGGATTAAATGAAAAGACACTTGTGAAGAGTGGCATTCAGTAGGCACTCAGTAAAGGTTAACAAAATATATACAGTAAAGTGTTAAGCAAATGTGAGGAAGTTTTACTTGACTGTAATGTAATAACTATTACATTAGTATAATGTACAGAAAATGTCTGTTTCACTTCTCACTGTTACCCATTATTCCTTTTGATCCATCAGAGGCCAGCAGAAATAGTAGATGAAGAAGAAGATGGAGAGAAAGAAAGCAAGGATGCAGAAAAGAAAGAAGAGTTTTCAGGAATGAATGGCGAAGCTGAAGAGAAAGGAGGTGGGGAGGCTACAGCTGCCTCTGAGCAGACCGAGGAGATGCCAGGGCAGCGGGAGGAGCAGGGAGGTCCCCTGCATGTCAGTGGAGGCACTGATGAAGAAAATGGCGAGGAACTGGATCAGGTCAATAGCAAGCTTCAAGAGGCAGCGGAGGAGGAAATAAAGTCTCAAGGAGCACCTGGCAATGAACAAGAGGAGGTATTTCTGTTGCCTTTGCTCACTTGTGTGCATGCATGTGTGTATGTGCACAACTGGGGAGTTATTCAAGCACTTAGGACTTGCATTGAAACCACTTGTTGAGTAGTGGTCTATCAGTACCATTGACTTGACGATATTACTTCAGTAAGTTAAGAACTACTGTCAACCACCCATCTGACAGTCTATATGTCTGACCTTCTTGTCATCCATCCATCCATCTCTCCATCCACCCATCCATCTTCTACCTTATTCTACCAAAAAATTTAGAGGCTCCTAAGAACATATACAACAAATAAGAAACATAGAAGTAAGAAATACAAGTGAGTTAAGACCAATGAAGTTATAAACCAGCAAAAAATATCAAGACTAGTGAGACATAGACATGATTTAAAGAACATTGTCTCTGTTATAGGTGACTTCTTTGCTCTCTAGAAATATCAAACTTTAGTTGTTTAGTCCACTTTAAATGGATTAATTGAATTAAGTGCACAATATTCCAGGCACTTAATTATATATATTGTACTATTCATTATACAGCAAGGGGAAGAAATACATGTTGAAGCTTCCTTCTCAGCCTATTTTACCACTACAGCCTTAGAGCAGGCTATTCTCAAGTCGCGACATTCCTCCACAGGATAGACAGAGTTTGATATGATAGATTGTTAGATGCTGAGGATGAACAAGCTAAAGTAGAGTTTCCTAGTAAGAGGCAGGTGTGTTCCCCACAGCATTCTCATGATCTTCTTGTGCTCTTCCTTCCTGTCTATCTAGCAGCTCAGGGTCTAGCTCCTTCAAGCCTGTAACCTCTGATGTGGGCCTTGGTCTCTTCACCCCTGACAACCCCATATGATGAATGGGTCTTCTTGATTGTTTTTTAGTGATTCATCTGTTTTATCTTACTTACGGAGACCAAGTTTAGAATGCAAAATATTTTTGTGACCACGTTTCAGTAACCAGCACAAAGTTATCTGTAATCCACTGTATGGCTTATTCAAAAATATTCTTAACATCTAAATTAAAACATTCAATGTGTCTCATCTTTCCTCTGCATGAGGTAATCACAGTATAAATCTGTAAGAAATTTCCCATATACAGTTCTACATGGTTATTAAAAATGTAGTTAATTCTGAAGTTGTTTGTAGCTAAATTTAAAAAAAAAGAATTCAGTCAATTACATGATTTCCTTTATTTCCATAAGGAAACAAAATTAATTTCCCAAGGAAGGCAATGGAAAAATGTTTCTCAAGGGAAGCAGAATCTCTTGTGTGCGGATTCATTTAGGAAGCACAATAATGTAGCGTGTCTTCAGTGTCATGAAGCTCTTTGCTATTATAGTGGCCTTTGAGGAATGTTTACAGCATAAAATCAAAGTATAAATTCTATGTGGCACCTAGACAGTAAAATCCAATTATGTATTTTTTCCAGTGCTTTAGTTTCATTTAATGTTATAACCCAAATAATTTTTTATAGAAGTAAATAGATTGCCTGTCCTTCCATTCCATAAATTTAACTTTTAAAAATAAGCCTTTCCTAGGAATTGGGTAAGAGTCAAGATCAAGGTTATATAATTGAAGGACAGGTATTAATGGTATGTACTGAGGGTAGATCTAAGTTCTTGGGATTTAAGAAGTATACAAATGCTTAAGACAGAGCAGTTACCTGCAAGAGACTCAATCTTATTTGACTTATTCCTCTTAGAATGATACTATATTTGATTTTCATTCTTTTTGTAATAGTATAAGTACATTTTAAGCATACCAATTATATGAAAAATTAGATTTGTATGAATTATTAATTATACATTAATAATTAACTTTTTCAAAAGGATTCTTATAAAATGACTAAAAATTTAGTTTACCATGTAACATTTTATTCCATGTAACAGTTCTTAGGGAAGGTGTGATATGATTCCAGGAAAACAGCAGGAAATACATGACAAGTACACAATAACCACCTGACATTTACTGAGCTTGTACTGTGTTCAAGATGATTCAAAAGATAATGATCTGAAATAAGAGATAGTTCTAGTAATCTTTCTTTTTAGAGCGTAAATCATAGCCTGTAGGGGAGGGGACCTGGAGCTAGTCCCGTTCTCCCTCAACTGGTGGGCACTGTGGCAGCTGTGGAGCCTCCAGGATTCCACGGAGCAGAGTTTGAGAACCACCTAATTCTAATCTCACCTCCTTCATTTTCAGTCTAGTGGGGAGAGACAAATTTTAAATGAGACAATACCATTAATAGCACATGATGCATCCAAGTAGCAGGGACAAGGGCCGCTGTTGGAGCCTTTGTGTTTTCATATCTATTCTGCTCTTACCTGCTTGATACTTTATGCTACTTGGTGCCATAGTCACAAAGAATTTGTGAAGTCTAGTAGAAAACTAACAGAAGAACAGCTAGTATGGGACTGGGTTAATGTGACATGAGGATAGAATTGCTATATTTTTCTCTTCCCTTTTCTCTGAAAATGCTAAAATGGAATGTATAAATATGTTGTTGAGAAGAAAAGCTCAAAGGAAAATAAAGAAAAACATCAAGACAAAAAAAGCCTGGAGCACAAGAAATAAGCTGTGCCCTTAAAGCACAGAGTGGATTCTGGTTCCCAAAGAGCTTCTGCACAGTGGTGTTGAGCCTGGTGTATCCACTGGGTGGTGGTTCCCTGGAAAACAAAGGAACCCAAGGAACTGTTCTTCATTGAATAGTTATATGGTTAAATGCAATACTGAGTAATTTTTTTCCTTGTAAGTTTTATTACCTTTGTAACTAAAGAGATAAATATCTTTGTTTTGATCTGTTTTTCTCCAGGCTGACTTAGACCCTCAACAACCACCAAGGCCAGAAGTAAAAATCACTAGTCCACAGGAAAATGATGACAACGAACAAAACAAGGACTATGCTGTTGTAGCATAGATGATTTTTAAAAAGAGGGTATATTGATTATAAGAAAAATGAAGGGTTATAACACTTGAATAATAAGTATAGTTATTGTTACATATAACACAACAATGTGGTTGAAAACTACTTACTGAATTTTAAAACTAGAGGCCTAACGGAAAGACTAGATAACTTTGAATAGCTACTAAAGGAGAGTGACTTATTATGGGATGTGTTTTTAAAAGTCATTTAGAAAAATAAGAGAGGTAGAGGAGAATTTGAACTGGAAGATAGTTGGGCACTTGTTTTTGTAAAGGATGAAAAAAATGGAATTACTCCTGTTGCATAATTTCTTACATAGTTAAAAGTGAGGTTATTAGATGGCAGCATATGCTAAAGCACTTATCTAAGAATGCATAGAATTTTAAATGATAATAGGAAAGCATGTAGTTTTCTAAAGCAATAACTGTTGAGTAAACAAAGTATAATTTAGTTTCAGAGATAATTTGAAGATGGCAATAGATCAAAATGTCTCCATGACTTGTTGACATTCTGTTCTCTCTTTCTCCTTAGCCAAAATCTACCTTAAAATAATTAAAAAGAATGCAAGGTATTCATTTTGAAAGGAGGAAGTATTCATTTAGTGTATTAGTGATTAATGTTGTCATGTTCCTCCCTTAAGTGCTTCAGGTTTTAATCCTTGTGGCTTTCAGGACAGAATTTATAAAGGAACCACCAATTATATTACTGAGCCTCGATGGATGGTTTGCAAATTCCTGGTATCCTATGAATTTTCACTGACTCAGCCTACCTTTACCAATAATATGTCTCTGTACTTCTTCATGTTGGGAAACTGAATGTTGGCTCTTCAAAAGATTGAATTTTACAAAAAGAGAATGTAGGCTTATGATGAGTTTCTCATGCTCAGTTTCACTTGCTTTTTGCTTTATTTGTGTTAGGGGACTGACTTGTTACATTTTGTCCCTAAGAATATCAGAAAATATTTATTTTCAAGCCAGTTATATTTAGACTTTCTTGCAAATTCTTTTCTTTAAATAATTAGAAATTATCTGATAGAAATTGTTGAAAAAAAGTTTAAAATTGGCATAATCAAACCAGTATCGAATTACTAGTTTGTGGGCTGATTAGATTAACTCACAATTGCCTTGTTAAATATATATGGGGAAAAAACATATAAATAATATTTTTGTTATGTAGAAATTATAAATTTGAAATTTAAACTAGTGTTTTCATAGAATTCATTATTAATCGAAGGTTAAAATATTATTTCCCCTCCAGGTTTTATAACCAACCATTTTGAATCAGAGTAGTTATATCAAATACTTAATAATGCTATAGAAAATGGATGTATTTTTCCTAGAAGCTATTTTAATATTTTCCATAAATAGGAAGTATAAGCAGAGACTATAATGTAACAGTATTAGAAAGAGATAATGATAAAAGAGCATATTAGTCTGGGAGGTTGAATTATAAAAGAGGCACTATACTTCTAGTTTAAAATCTAGATTGTGCTACTAGTAAGCTTATTTTCAAATGGGACAATAAAACCACCATAGACTATAAGCATGTTGCTGGGAAAATAGACCACCTGTTTTTTTAATGTTAAATTCCCATACTGGACCCAGGGTTAATGACTTTAGATCATTTATAAAAATAAGGGATTAAATATAAGAAATGATAACAAATTATCAAGGTAATTTTTTTCTTTTCTTTCTTTTATGAGATTTTCTCTCTCTTTTTCTTTTAATATTCTGTCTTATTTTTCTCCTTTTCTTCATCATACAATGAAGCCTCAGTTTTCAGGAGCTTTTTAAAATCATATTAATGGAAAACAATGTTATTTTACATTAAAAACAAAGTTTTATATTTTAAATATATTTGAAGAAGGTGGTAGGCCACAACTGTGACCTAACTTGAGGGGATGAACAACAACTAATTACCTTAAAAAAAAAGAAAGAATAAAATATGTTATGTAACCAAGGAAGAAACCATTCACAGAGAATGAAAACTATGGACATCATTTTGGAGATGACTTTAACATAAAAAATGAAAGTTACTTCACCTCACGGATATGGTCTTCTCCGTGGGAAGGGCAGCCTCCGTGGCTGAGGAGCTTCACGCACTGAGACTCCCTGGTGGGTTTGAGACCGTTACCTGCTGAGCAGTGGAGATCTTGGTTAGGCTTCGGGTAGTGTTTTATAGAGCAAAGGTGCTATAAAAAAACTCATGTAGCTTTTATGTGATAACCAATAGAATGCTTTACGATGTTAGTATTTCATGATAGATTTCATAGTTTTAATTTCATGGAACTCTTATTAATCTTAATTTGATTTTATGACATTTGTAAACAAGTGGCTTGTTGAATTGAAACATCAGAAGTTCTGAAGATCAAATAAAGGAGATTTTGACTAAAGTCATTTTCGTGCTAAGGATGCTTTATCTGTTTTAACATCTGTTAAGGTAACTATTGAGAGTTCATGGACTTCTAGGTAAAGAACATGATACTATGACCATAAGATAACTTTTTACTCATTATTTTTTTCTTATGGCTATAAGGTGACTATTTATTATAACATTTTTGGTTATGTTTTTGGGGAATATTAGAATGCCAGATTCATAGAAGGATCATGATATGCCATGCATTCTGTTTTATTCTGAGTGTTAATTCCTGCTGTTGTCTATAAAGACAGAACTAGCCTGTGTATGTGTGCATGGCTCAGAGTCAGCCAGCTACCTCTGTAGGTTCATGGTTGTGAAGACATACTAATACGAAATTATTCATACTAACTCTTCCAACTTATAGTTAATAAAATCAACGTCCTCAAAAATTTCACTAAATAACCTACCTTCTTCACAAAAGATGAAGTTAACTCAGCTAGGAAATTTGTGTATTTAAAATTGTGGCTGTAGAACAACAGGAGGGCATCTTTATCTTGTTAACTGACTTTCCTACAGAATTAGCTCTGTACTTTCATTTTTGTTTGCTCAGAATGCAGCAGAAACAAAATTTCAGAAAGTAGAATGGATGAATTGCTAAGCAGAAAGCATCACATCTAAACCGGTGCCAATCTGAATAGGAATAGAGTATGTAGATATACACATATACATAGCAAATACTTACACAGATGCACTCACACTTTAAAATATTGAAAAGGCCTTCCTGTTATTAATGGAATAGGCTGTTTTGAAAGAAGCAATGCATAAAAACATGTGGAGAGGAAATGCTAAAAAATGATGTGTATCATTGTGTTTTAACAGTTGGTTCCCAAAGACTTTTAAGAGATTTAAATTTCTTCTCAAAATAAGAAAGCTACCAACATTTCAATGAAAAATTTATTCTAGGGAGGGGTGAATATATATAAATCTTATTTCCTGAAATAGCTACTGCATATAATTCTTCAGTTCTTTGTCACCAGTCTTATGTACCATATACTTTAAGTGCAGGATATTTCATACCAACACAGGTTTGGTCAGGAGGTTATTACTGTTTGTGCATGTGTATGTGATTTACATCAATGTATAGAGGACTCTTTGCTAACAAGCAGCCAGATTTACTGCATATAGTATAAAGCTAGTCAACTAGCTATCTAATGCTAAAGTTCAGTGCAACAGCTTTGTAGCTTCCTTGTGTGAATGTAATGTCCTAGACTGGACCTCTTTTTAAAAAAGGTTAGTCTGTCATTCTAATGTGATGAACGCATAAAGTTCTGGTTATTAAATATCATTTTTATAAATACTATAAAATTTTTGCTTCTCAGAAAATGTCCTGGTATGTAGAGGGGTCTGATTTTTGTTCTTACCACATGCAATTAGTATATTTCCTACAATGACGTCTAAGTGACTTGGATGAAGCATGAAAGTTTGTCCCCACAAGTTGACAAGGAAGAAAGATGTTGTTTGTGAAGAGTCATACCATCCTGTGAGATATGGGAAATTAGGAAAGAATTTTAAAATATCTGGATAACTACGAAGCATCTATAAAATCAAGAGGTAACTAGTAGAGGTTGATCCATTGACTTAAGCCAAAACAATACAGCTTAAATCCATGGATGGCACCAAATGAATTCTCTGTAGTTTCATCAGCTTAAACCACATAGTATAATTGAGTGAGTTGTTGTCACAAATGCAATGGCATCTGAGAAGATGGAATGACTGGAGTCAATTTTAGAAGCTGTTTGGAGAAAATCTACTGTGTTTTTGCTTCATTGTTTTCTTGTGCCTTAAATCTTTTAATATATACAATGATAATGGTTGGTTATCCATGTTTTAAATGAAGATTAATTTTAATTCATCATTTTTATGTGATTTATGTTTAGAACCTCTCTTTGTAAGAAAAATTATTTGTTTTGATCAAATTTTGAGCATTTAGTCTTTTACTTCTTTATCAGTGCTTATTCTAAATCACAGAAGTCACTGTATGTTAAAAATAAATAGATTTGTGTTTTTATAATTAAATGTGTCTATATGCTTTATTGTTTGTTTATGATGTTGTGTTGCCAATGGTTCATGTATTAATTCTTCACATGACATTTTTCAAATGCAATAGAAACTTTTTGGTTTAAACCATGTAGAAATTTAGCACATTATAAGATTCTTCTGTTTCTACTTGGCATGGATATCAAACTTCATTATATAAAGGAAACATCTTTATATCTATATATGCATGTTTATTGGGCAAAACTTTTAGGTAATTTTTTAAAAAATCATTTTTTTTCTCTTATGAAATGGTATTAGAGAAACATAGGTGCAGAAATTTTGTTATGATAAAGATATATTTAAAAACAAAGAATAAATTACAGGCATTACCCATTTTGTAATGATATAGCTATAGGAATAAATTCACAGTTTTACAAAAAATTGGCTAAAATTATACTTCCATTTGTGAGACATGTACTGCTTTCATTCTAAATTAATTCGTCCTGATTAAAGTAGCTTTGTTTGTTTTTTCTTCATTTTTGAGAAACTAAAGCCATTAATTAAGCACAAGCATTTTGCCTTCTTGATATGTAATAACA